TCTGGTTTAAAATTTTTTAAGAATATTTAAAAAAATAAAGGTGAATATTTTAAGACTTTACAAAAAAAATACTAAGTTGTTGTTGGTCTTAACAATCGAGATTGTTGTAATCAACTCAAAAGTTTTTGTTATTTGTTTCATTTAGTTTTATCTTATTCATACGTAATTTCTTTTCATCACTGTTAGCGTTAATTTAATTATTTTCATAGTAAAATATACTATATATAATATTATATACTATAATTTTATCTCTATATTGTTATCAAATTTTTTTATTTATATATAACAAGATTTTGGGAGATTCCATTAATATAATATATTGTATGTTAAGCCACTAACCTCTAATTTATTAGTTATCATATAGAAGTATTTATATGCAACCGTTACTAGCATATAGCATCGTTATGATTAATTTGATTGCTCATGAGTAAGAGTCTCAGCCTCGTCATCGCTTTTCCATCACAAAGTCGTGGTCCAAAGTACGCCTGCAGAAGCTTCTTGTGTTTTGGCTCTCTGTTCCCAAACATACCTTCAATATAATGTAGGTAGCAATATTAATAATTCTCATAAACAAATATTAATAATTCTCCTAAATTGTTTATACCCCCAAAATTCTCAGATCTGTTTCTGGTTAGACTGCCCACTACAGCGCCGATCCTAGATTAAAACCCATAAAATTATCAAACATATTTGGAATCTTCTATTATTAATTGACAAGGACAATTTATAAAGAATATTGGTCTCATGTTTGATTTACGAATTTGCCATGCAGATGTATCACCTCAAGAAAGCTTCTAAAAATTTTTTTTAAAAAAGACTTAACTTACTAGATTAATTACAATCAGTGCCACTCATATAAATTTAGATAGAGAATCAAATATATCTTATTAAACTAATTATTAAAAATTAATTATTCAAAAAATATATTTTTTCCTTAGTTAGACACACAAAAATTAGTAAATAATTTCAAAACATATGTATTAACCAATCAAGTAAAATAAAAGAATAAGATTTAAATATATCAGATTAATTATTTTCTTATATTCAAATACTTATTTAATTATACAATATGAATTATTTTTAAATCATTATATTTCTATTATTTTCTTTGTTCATTTTTTCTGAATTAATTATCACATTAAACATATAATAAATTTATATTTATATACATATGTGATAATTTTAAATTTAAAAAACAAAACCAAATAAATCACTAAAGTTTTTATTAATAAGATATATTGATCTCTCAGTTAAACAATTAACTATAGAATTACATTCACATTAAAAAAAATAAGATGAAAATCAATAATAAATCTAATAATCATTATATATTGTAATTGCAATACTAATACAAAATCATATTATTACTCACCATAATATTAACATACATATAAAATCAATTAAATTATTTATATTTTAAATAAATTAAGTCATATTTAGTAAAATATTTATAGATATATCACACGGCATATGACACAAAAAACTATTTGTTTATAATTAAAAAAAATAATTAAAACTATGCATTCAATATTTCTATCAATTATTTTCAGATTTTATACTTTTAGAAACATTATTGTAGTTTAACCATTTTAAAAAAAACATTCAAGACAAAAACAAAAATTTTATTTTTTGCAAAAATACAGTTACAAATTTTTCAAATAAAATTCAGGTGGAATTTGATTGTTACCTAATATAGTTATTAAACATATTTGGAATCTTCTATTATTAATTGACAAGGACAATTTATAAAGAATCTTTGTCCCATGTGTGATTTACGAATTTGCCATGATGTGTCACCTTAAGAAAACTTCTCAAAAGTTTTTTTTTAAAGATTTAACTTACTAGATTAATTACAATCATTGCCACTCATATTAATTTAGATAAAGAATCAAATATATTTTATTAAACTAATCATTAAAATTTTTTTATTCAAAAAATATATTTCTTTCCTTAGTTAGACACACAAAAATTAGTAAATAATTTCAAAACATATGTATTAAGCAATCAAGTAAAAGAAAAAGAATAAGATTTAAATATATCATATTAATTATTTTCTTATATTCAAATCCTTATTTAATTATATAATATGAATTATTTTTAAATCATTATATTTCATCATTTTATTTGTTCATTTTTTCTGAATTAATTATCACATCAAACATATAATAAATTTATATTTTTATACATATCTGATAATTTTAATTTTAAAAAACAAAACCAAATAAATCACTAAAGTTTTTATTAATAAGATATATTGATCTCTCAGTTAAACTATTAACTATAGAATTACATTCACATTTAAAAAAATAAGATGAAAATCAATAATAAAATCTTATAATCATTATATATTTTTAATTGCAATACTAATACAAAATCATATTATTACTCACCATAATATTAACATACATGTAAAATCAATTAAAATTATTTATATTTTAAATAAATTAAGTCATATTTAGTAAAATATTTTATAGATATATCACACGGCATATGACACAAAAAACTATTTGTTTATAATTAAAAAAAATAACTAAAACTATGCATTCAATATTTCTATCAATTATTTTCTGATTTTATACTTTTGGAAACATTATTGTAGTTTAACCATTTAAAAAAAAAACATTCAAAATGAAAACAAAATTCTATTTTTTGCAAAAATACCAGTTATAAAATTTTCAAATAAAATGCAGGTGAAATTTTATTGTTACCTAATATAGTTATCAAACATATTTGGAATCTTCTATTATTAATTGACAATGCCAATTTATAAAGAACCTTGGTCCCATGTGTGATTTACGAATTTGCCATGCTGATGTGTCACCTCCAGAAAATTTCTCAAAGGTATTTTTAAGAAAATACTTAACTTATTAGATTAATTACAATCATTGCTACTCATATTAATTTAGATAGAGAATCAAATATATCTCATTAAACTAATCATTAAAAATTAATTATTCAAAAAATATATTTCTTTCCTTAGTTAGACACACAAAAATTAGTAAATAATTTCAAAACATATGTATTAACCAATCAAGTAAAATAAAAAGAATAAGATTTAAATATATAAGATTAATTATTTTCTTATATTCAAATCCTTATTTAATTATATAATATGAATTATTTTTAAATCATTATATTTCTATCATTTTCTTTGTTCATTTTTCTGAATTAATTATCACATCAAACATATAATAAATTTATATTTTTATACATATGTGATAATTTTAATTTTAAAAAACAAATACAAATAAATCAGAAAGTTTTTATTAATAAGATCTATTGATCTCTCAGTTAAACTATTAACTATAGAATTACATTCACATTTAAAAAAATAAGATGAAAATCAATAATAAAATCTTATAATCATTATATATTTTTAATTGAAATACTAATATAAAATCATATTATTACTCACCATAATATTAACATACATATAAAATCAATTAAATTATTTATATTTTAAATAAATTAAGTCATATTTAGTAAAATATCTTATAGATATATCACACGGCATATGACACAAAAAAACTATTTGTTTATAATTAAAAAAAATTACTAAAACTATGCATTCAATATTTCTATCAATTATTTTCTGATTATATACTTTTGGAAACATTATTGTAGTTTAACCATTTAAAAAAAAAACATTCAAGACAAAAACAAAAATTCTATTTTTTGCAAAAATACCAGTTACAAATTTTTCAAATAAAATGCAGGTGGAATTTGGTTGTTACCTAATATAGGTATCAAACATATTTTTCATTTATTTCTGTTTATTATTGATTATTTTTAAAAAATCTAAATTTTGAAAACTTTATAACATAATTTGGAATCTCTACGATTAGCTTCTATATAAGAAAAAATTTCTTCTATAACATTTTACTCATTATTTTTTTAAAATAGTATTTTTATCTAATTATAATTTTCTTTTCCATAATTTTTTTTTTTCAACTCAATTTCTGGTTTAAAATATTTTAAGAATATTTAAAAAAATAAAGGTGAATATTTTAAGACTTTACAAAAAAAAAAATACTAAGTTGTTGTTGGTCTTAACAATCGAGATTGTTGTAATCTACTCAAAAGTTTTAGTTATTTGTTTCATTTAGTTTTATCTTATTCATACGTAATTTCTTTTCATCACTGTTAGCATTAATTTGATTATTTTCATAGTAAAATATACTATATATAATATTATATACTATAATTTTATCTCTATATTGTTATCAATTTTTTTATTTCTATATAACAAGATTTTGGGAGGTTCCATTAATATAATATATTGTATGTTGAGCCACTAACCTCTAATCTATTAGTTATCATATAGAAGTATTTATATGCAACCGTTACTAGCATATAGCATCGTTATGATTTAATTTGATTGCTCATGAGTAAGAGTCTCAGCCTCGTCATCGCTTTTCCATCACAAAGACGTGGTCCAAAGTACGCGTGCAGAAGCTTCTTGTGTTTTGGCTCTCTGTTCCCAAACATGCCTTCAATATAATGTAGGTAGCAATATTAATAATTCTCATAACAAATATTAATAATTCTCCTAAATTGTTTATGCCCCAAAATTCTCAGGTCCGTCTCTGGTTAGACTGCCCACTAAAGCGCCGATCCTAGATTAAAACCCATAAAATTGATGTTTTAGGCACCAAATAATATGGTTGAGATTGGTTTAGGGATCTGGTTTGTGAGAGAAAGATGAAGCGACCAGAACTAGGGATTCTGAATATTTATTTCCTTCTTTCTACAGATTTACATACACTTTAGCACAATCCTTCAACAAAGAAGCACTATATTCTGTTAGGATCCATCTATTTAATTAGCAAATTTTGATAACCTACAAAGAGTTTATAATACTTTCCTTTCTTTAGCGTAGATGTAACGATCCATACTTATAAACTACGAAAACCCAATCCAAACACAAACACATATATAGAAATACATTATAACCTAGAAGTCTAGAACATACATAGCGTAGATGAATGATGCATATAACCTTATAACCTAGAACTAACGTGACTAACACCGTGTCGATGAACTTCCTTATAACCGGCATTGACCTCATCGACTACCAAAGCCTTAGCAGTGTCTCTCAGCTTAGACTTAAGAATCTTTCCATTGCTGTTCCTTGGCAAGTCTTGACAAAACACTACCTTCCTTGGACACATAAAATGCGGCATATTCTCACGGCAATAGTCAATCAAATCTCGTTCTGTGGTCACCAATTCTTCTTCACCACGTCCTTTATTAGTCTCACGTTTTTTTAGAACAACAAAAGCACATGGGGTTTCACCCCAAAGAGGATGAGGCATGGCAACGACTGCAGCTTCGAGCACTTTCAAGTGCCCGTAAAGAACTCTCTCGACCTCGATACTGCTAATGTTCTCACCTCCCGATATGATAATGTCTTTGGATCGATCTTTGATCTCTACGTGCCCATCAGGATGAATCACACCTATATCTCCCGTGTTGAGCCATCCGTGTTTAAACGATTCAGATGTCGCTTTTGGGTTCCTTAGATACCCTTTCATTACACTGTTTCCTTTAATGACAATCTCTCCCATCGTCTTCCCGTCGCGTGGGACACTCTTTTGAGTTTTCGTGTTCTTCACGTCAACATCCTCTACGGTTATGTTTCTTACCCCTTGCCTTGCTTTCAACTGCATCTGTTGATGCTCTGGTAGTCTATTTAAATTTAATAATACATTTTTCATATTAGAATTTATTATTTCACCATCTTTGTCGAGAAAAAAAATTCTTACACATAATGATGATTTTTACCTGTTCCACTCGTCTTGCCATTCACAAAAGAGAACTGAACCAGTGGCCTCCGTAAGCCCATAGCCATGCATCACTTGAAACCCTATCCGCTGCACCTTCTCAAGAAGTCCAGCAGGTGGGGGTGAACCTCCCGTCAACACCTGAATAGGCCTGGACTTGTCTGACCCATCATTTCGACGTCCTTCTAGGAGAATTCTAAACACCGTAGGGACACAAGACATGTGCGTCACGCCATGCAAATCTATGTTTTTATAGATCTCTGGGGCAGTCACGTGCCTTAAGCAGACGTTAGTGCCGCCACTCGCAGCCACGGACCACGTGTGCGTCCATCCATTAGCATGAAACATAGGTAGTGTCCAGAGGTAAACAAGGGAAATCCCCATTTCCCAGCCGATAATTGAGCTCAAAGCACTCAAGTACGCTCCTCGGTGGCTAACCACTACACCTTTTGGGTCAGCAGTTGTGCCAGACGTGTAGTTTAAAGAGATAGGGTCATTCTCGTCATGGACACGGAACATACTAGCGGACGAAGAGAGCGTAAGATCTCCTCTACGAATGAGACCCTCGTAGTCTAACTCCTCGGAGGAATGCTTTCTAGGGGAACCGATCTCATCAATGAATATGATCAGTGGGTGAGGTTGTGAATCGTCAAAAGGTAGGAGACGGAGGACTTCTCGGGCCAAATGAGCAAACTCATGGTCCACGAATAACATCTTTGGCTGGGCGTGGCGAAGGATGATGGCTATGGTTTTGGCGTCGAGACGGGTGTTAATAGGGTTAAGTACTGCACCGGTCATGGGAACGCCAAAATGCATCTCGTACATAGCAGGTACGTTAGAGGCCAAAATCGAGACCTAAACATATAAATAATTGCCATAGTAAAGAAAAGTAACGATGGTAAAAGCAATTTGTAAGGCATCAATAACGATAAAACAAGAAAATAAAAGCGAAGTTATGTGTTTCCTATGTATATATAATATATGTCATCATATAATCGTGGGAAAGGCTAAGACTAATCATGAATAGGAAAGAGAAAGCAAAGGGAAATGTCATACGACGTCGTTTCGGGTGATATTAAGAGTGAGGAGAGAAGAGGCGAGACGACAGCAACGGTCATAGGTCTGAGGCCAAGTGAAACGACTTTGTCCATAGATAATGGAAGTTCGATTAGGATAACATTCCGAAGCTCTCTTCAAGAACGTTATGGGTGTTAGAGGAACGTTGTGTGCTTCACATAAGGCCAGTTTATCCATCTTGTATGTATGTGTGTGTGTGTGTGAGGGAATAGGGATATGCAAATCCATATTATATATAGAAAGAATGTGAGTGATCTAGAAAAAGGAAAATTAATATTCGAAGAATAATAAATAGATTGAATGCAGGGCATGCCTAAAGTTTTGGTAGCTGTCACTGAAAACAGAGAGGTGAAAACATCTAAAGCTTTCACAGTCTAACTTTCCTTTTGAGTTTATAACAGAAATGTGACATTTAAGTTCGGCCATCTATTTATTAATTATTACAAACATTATACAGGTTATTGAGAAGGCAACAAGTTTATGATATTAATTGCTTAAAAACATTAGGCACTAAATGTCGGTCAAATCGCAGTGGCCCTTCATATTCAATATTGCACTATTGATCACATGCGTTTGTAATAAAAAAACGACAAAACGATCGTGCTCGGTTTATCAGTTGCGGCCTAAAACTTTCGATTATGATATAGAGAACTAAATTATATATTCTTTTGCACATGCACTGATTAAAGAATCATTTTTTATTTAATTTTTTTCTAAAGTAAAATATCATTTATTATAAAAAATTTTGCTAAAAATAACCTAAAACTTAACTCTAAACACAAAAATAGACCTTTGATAGAATATTTAACAAAAATAACATAAAAAATAGTAAAAAGACCATTTAACTTGTATGACCAAACAAAAAATGGATGTCCTAATTACCGTTTAAATCCTACGAAGTCTACTAAAGACTTAAAAAAATCTACTATGTAATTAAATCAGAAAATTTAATTTTATAAAAAAATTTATTTTGGTATCAATTTACATTCATAAATTAGGTTACTATAACTCAAATGTATATAAATTATTTTTTTCATATTGATAAATTTAAATTTATGTTTTTAAATTAAAAAAAGAAAATCTATTATTTAGGGTTTAAACTTAGTAGACTTCAATATTGAAGTCTGCTAAACCGAATAAATTAACCTTACCAAAATTTTAACCAAAATTGAACCGAAAATAACTTTTCTTAACCAAGAAAAACTTCCCATAATCGGATAAACTTACCTACACCCAGAAAAATAATTAATCTACCCGGAAAAAACTTACCCAAACCGAACAGAATTACAGACTATATAAATGAATTTTACAGATCCCGTTAAAAAAAACTGTTGAAAAGTTCATGTTGAAAAAAAAATACGAAGGCGGTTTCTGTTTCTCTTCAACAGCGCAACCGATTTACTTCTCACCGCCGCCGATAACCCTTTCCAGGCAAGTTTTCTTCCTCCATTCACCCCCATGCTTCCCTACTCCTCCGTATTCATCACCATTCCGTTTTCGTCACCACCGGTGTCCAGATCTGTAAATAAGGATTTTTTTTTTTGCAGATCTGCTTTCGCCGCTTTACTGTAACGTCATTTTCTGCTTCAAAACGGTAAGTAGATGTCCTTCCGAAGCTATATACGTAGCTGTTCCTCTATATTCTTCTATCTTCTTATAATTTTGTCCGTCGGGTAGTACATATTTTTTTTTTTGCAGATCTGGTTGCATTTTCTCGACGCCGGCTTTATCTAATCACGCCTGTAACCACTATTTACTTTGTAGATTCTATTTGGATTGATTGCTTTTAGTAGACTTCATATATTTTTTTTTTATGTATTGATTGCTTCGGTTGGCTTCAGTAGACTTCTCGAGTCGGAGTATACTTCGAATGTGAAAAAGTAGACTTCGCTTTGCAAATAGTAGACTTCATTCGTTTGTTTATAGTTATAATCAGTTTTCTGATTAAAGTTCTTTACCGTTGATGTAGAATATTGTGTTAGATAATGGAAGCCTCTGAATTCTCGTGAAGATTATACACTAAAAGTGGTGAGCCAGTCCCGAACAAAAGCATCAGCTATTATGCTGATGATTATAGGCTGGTTCCTGCACTACGGCAAGCTCTACGAGAGGATGAATGGGAAGAGATTTATGAGTCACCGTTGGGTGTCTTTTCTTAAAGTTCCACGACTTGGATTTTGGTTGGGCGTCTAGGCTGGTGCACCACATGCTCACCTTTCAGATAGTTTGCAATCAGAGGTATGAGATATGGAGCCTGATTGGTACCACTCCAATGAGGTTTTCATTACATGAGTTTGAGGAAATCACCGGACTCAACTGCAGGTGCATGAATGACTTGGATCTATCTGATCTTGAGCTTTCCGATGACATGCAGGTTTTCTGGGAGCAAATGGGGGTCGATGTCGACTTGGGGCCAATCACACTTGAAATAATTGAAGCCTGTTCCAACTGCTTATCATGGTCTCGGTGATCGGTTGCATTTGGGATACCTTGGGATCTATGCTGGTTTCATAGTGGCAACGAAACCAAGCTCATCCACAAATGCTAACCATGCCAGACTATTGATATATCTCGAAGTTTTAGGGAGTTCCCATGGGGAAGAATTGCTTTTCAGCATCTGATCAAGTCTGTCAAGGAGAAAGATCTCAGCAAAAATATTCATATAGAAGGATTTGTGCAAACTCTTCAAGTATGGATATACTATGCTTTTCCAGATTTTGCTGCTGAATTTGGCAAACTATTGTCAAATGATCCTACACCTCTTCTGCTAGTGTACAAAGGATCAAGAGGATGAAAGAACGTCAAAGCCAACATGCTAAAACAGGTATTATTCATTCTCATTTAGAAGTCTTGTTCCGTAGTAGACTTCTATTTAAGAATTCATTTCAGAAGTAGACCTCAGTGATAGATTTCATACATAGACTTCTATATAGTAATTTATTTTCATAAGTAGACTTCAGTGATAGATTTAAAACGTAGACTTCTATACAGACTTCAATATTGGAATTGTGTTTTTCTAGGCTCGCATACAGTGCTGCGTGGCTAAGGACTTGGCAGATATGTTTCCAGTTTGGGATGATGAGCAACATGATCCAAATATTGTCAAGGTTGTCAATGCAATCCATGACCCCCAATTCAAGTTTTAAACATTGGCCTCTGGAAGGTGTTTTGGGTTCACACATCGTCAAGGCAGAAGCAAGAAAAAGGAGCCTTCCCATAGATGAATCAAGTTGCAAGAGGACATGTACAGCTTCTGGATCTGCCACCTCTTTCGTTGGTGATCAAAGGGTCGGAGTTGTCGCTACTATGAAAGTGCACTTCGACCAATGCTTCAAAAGCTTCTTAACTAAGATGCTGAATGGTCTTATTAGCTGCCATCCATGGTTAAATCCATGGTTAAAGAGAACATAACCATGGAGTAAATAGCCATGAGGCGTCCTCCCATTGATGACACCTTTATTAATTCCAACCCTGCTTGGATGCTGTCTTCAAAAAAAATTAGAGAATCGCCTCTCAGGAATTGCGATGTAAGATTTCTACACTCCAAACAGCTCCTAAAGAATGCATTAACCTTCCAATGTTAATCCCATACCCATGGAATTATCAAGGATATTAGATCAACAGCTCTTAAAAAACCATTTTCATTAGAAATCTCATTTAGAGTTTTGGAAAAAAACCCTTGCTTTACAGAGAACACCGTACGAATGAGATGTGGTTTTTAGAAATATATCCCATAGAATGTCAGAAGGGAGAGAGTTAAAGTTTAACAGGTTGGACATCTTCTTGGGTCTGGAATGAAACTAAATTTTGTGGTCATCGATAATTTATAAGCAGAAATAACATAGACAAACAGATACAACGGTCGGGCATATACACCGTTAAAGTCATTAAAGCAGTTACTTAATTGAAGTCGTTTCAAATATAACCGTTAAAAAAATAACACAGAGACTAATAGCATAAACATATTTAGTAGACTTTTGTTGTAGACTTCCAGACAACAATATCAGCCTTGTCATTATATTCCGGAGCCTTCTTGTTATTGTCGTGGTGAATCTTCATCGTCTAAGTGAGACACACAACAGTTTAGTAAATAATTATGTGAACATTTGGATTGGACATTATTATATGAGTAGCTCAACTTACACAATTCGGTAGGGTATGACCAGGTTGTTTGCATTGTGAGCAGCTGTATAGTTTGTGCAGCTTCCTTGGGTTCTTGTTTTTCCTCCTAGCAATTTCTAGCCATGATTGCCACCGAGACTTTTTCTATCTGCCTGGTTTTCGGCAAATGTCTGGCGGCAGACATAGTGGTAGTTGGACTCCTTGGACCACCGAAATTTGGGGATATATGTTGGCGGAGTATGCAGCAAACAAGTAGTTTTTCGAGTAAGTAGGACATACAAGAGAATCCACAGCTATCCCACCGGCTAATGCAGCTGCAATAGCATGTGAACAAGGGAGTTTCTCGATATGAAACACACCACATTCACACATTCCATGTTCCAAATCAACAAGATAATTCTTGTTTCCTCCTTTCACATAGAATCTCCAAGTGTCAATGTGTTCTACCTCCATTGCATCTGCATAATGTCCACGAATCGCCAGCAAATACTCAACTCCCCGAGTATTATGTGTTGTGAGACTCAAAGCATCCTCTCTGCATTTAAAAACCACCGACCGAGCTTCTCTCGTATGAAATCCAAGAGGAATGATATGGGATAACCACAGACCTTCTTAAGTGCAGCATTTATAGACTCTGCGACATTGTTAGTCTTAATACTATATCTGTTTCCAACAAAATGCACTCGGGACCAAAGGGAGACATCGGCTTCTTCCAAATAGTCAGTAAGATCTGGCTTGATCTGTCTTAACTCCGCCATGTACCGGTTGTAGTCATAGAGGTTGTAAGCATAAGCCACACGTTTGGCCAAGTACAGCAACTGTTTCTCCTTAAACTTTGTTACTATGTTATGTTGTAGATGATAGTAACATATCCCTCGTTTTGCCCATGGGAAAAAGTTTGACAAGCTTTCTTAAGAGAAAGATGTCTGTCAGAAACCATCACCAAAGGATAACCATCTGAGACACATTCACGCAGTTTAGAAAAAAACTATTTCCATGAAGCATCATCTTCACCATCGACAATTCCAAAGGCCAAAGGAAATATCTGAAAATTT